AGGCATCTGCTTGATGCCACCTTGCTTTAGCAGCTTGAGCTCTGCGTAGGGTTGAGCCTGAAGCAGGGGGAAGGTTTGTGAGGAGGGGTTGAGGGGCAAAGGGGTGCCAGTTGGGAGTTCCTGGGGGTGCTCTGGATGGCTGTGGTTCTGGGGAGGGTGCTGGGCTGGGCATCTGGTGGGCCTGTCAGGTCAACTCAGGGAGGCGGCGCAGTGCAGGGGTCACATCACCTGGTTTGAATCCTGGCTTCCGCACTTGGCAGCTGACCTCTTAGGACTATGGAACTGAGCCGCCTAAGCTAGGCTGCGATGCAGGCACACTGCCACAGGTTGCTTCCTGGCTGCCGCCACCTATGTGAGAGGTTTCTAGGGCTCTCCTGGGCAGATCCTTGCCTCCAACAAAACCCTAAAAACCCTCACAATCTGAGACTTCCCTGGTGGTCTAGCGGTTAGAATTCCGAGTTTCTACTGCAGGGGCTGAGGTTCAGTCCCTGGTTGGGGAACTAAGATCCCACAAGCTGCATGGTGTGACCAAAAAAAAAAAAAAGAAAACAAAGCCCCAAGAACCCTCACACTCCAACTGAGGAGGCTCAATTCACCTGCCTCTGCCCCCTCTGCACATGCTGATGGCCAAGGGCATTTAATAAATGTGCCATCCTCCCCAGCTTCCAAAGTGGGAGAACGTCACTAGGCTGGCACAGGCCAGTCACAGAGACAAGGGACCACTCTGGGCCCTGGTCTGGGGCTTTGGACAAGACTCCTTTGCTGCCTTGAGTTCGTTTCCTCAACTGTCAAGTGAACTGATCATATCTCCCTGCAGGTACGGGCCTCAGTGTTTGCTGGAGAGTCAGCATCAGGGGCTTTGGGCTCTCATTCCCTATAGCTGGGGGGCTGGGGACTTTGTTGGATTATCTAGTTATGTATCAGTCCAGCGTCCTATCCTCCTGCCCCTGGCTTGGGCTCGGCATCTGAAGCAGTTTGGGGATCTGAGGGGAGGGGTCTTTTCCCCGGAGCTCATGGTGATTGCTCTAGGTAAGGGCGCTTATGACCTTGAGGGTGGAGGTGACAGCCTGCCTCACCTGCTTTCTCTCGCCAGGGCAAATCTTCTGACCTCAGGATCTCTGCAGTCTGGTCTCACCTCCCTCTCTGGCCAGCCCCTCACGCTTCTGGACCCCTCGTTTTCCATGCCATCTCCTGGTCCCACAGCCAGCTTGTGTCCGTCCATCTGCCAGGCCTGGCTCACGCTGCTCCCAGCTCTCTGACCACCTCAGAAGGCCTATAATAGTTTGGGCAGCCACCAAAGATCGGCAAAGACCATTCCAGACCCAGTTCAGTCCCATGGCTCCGCCCTGTCCTCTCTTCCCTCGGTGACCAGGTGCAGGCCTTGTGTACCAGGCACACTGCGCCATGTGCTCAGTGAGGAAGGGCCCACCCCTCCCCACACAGGGAGAGATATTTACTCAGTAAGGTCCACGGGTGTCTACTGCGTCTTATGAACATTGGGGAGATCGGCACTTTGGGAATTCCTGGACTGGGCTGGGTATTGTGCTGCTATCTGACCTCAAGCAAGTTACTCTCTGAGCCTCAATCTTGTGCATCTATAAAATAGTGAGCAAGGCCGCTGGCTACCCTTTGACTGCAAACACTAAATCAAAGGGCTTGTATGGGCCTCCTGGCACATAGCAGGAGGTCAACAAATGTTGTGGCCTTCAGTTTTAGGAAACTGCTTCTGAGAAGACTCTGACTTCAGGCATGGTGGAAGCATGAGTTTTGGGGGGTGAGTCCAGGTTCCAGCCCAGCTGCACAGTTGGGTCACTCTGGCAAACAGCAGGAAGGCCAGCTATCTCGTGAATATACTTCTCCAAGCATTACCACCATTTGTGTGGCAGGGACTTTGTGTTTTCTTTCCCTGTTATGTTCCCACCTGGAACATTGGTGAGTGTAAAGCAAGTGCCGAGAGGCATTTCCAACGTGAATGAAATGGGAGGTATAGAGAAAAGGACCCTACCCAGAAGGTGAAATCAACAGACATGGATTTTTTTCTTCCCGCCACCACTGCTCTCCCCACTGCTTCCCCCACAAATTTGGTTAATTCCCCAAGCAGCTAGTAAGAGAGCTGACTCCTGTGTGGGCAACCTCCGTCAGGTTCTCCATCTTGCCCTGCCCCGCTCAGCCCGCTCAGGGCGCACTTGCATGTTTTCTCTTCTTTTTAAACATATTTACTTATTCATTTGGCTGGGGCATGCGGGATTGCTACTGCATTATCTACCTTCCTCTCTCCCCAGCCTCAGGGAGGGTACCTTCCCCAACTCTGGCAACCCGATGGGGCTTGCAGCTTCCCTACTCCCAAGGCCCAGGAGGCAGCCCCCCGCCTGAATCTCACCCCCTGCCTCCCCCGAGGTCCTTTCTTCTTTCAGTTCAGTTCAGTCACTCAGTCGTGTCCAGCTCTTTGCGACTTTTGAATCGCAGCACGCCAGGCCTCCCTGTCCATCACCAACTCCTGGAATTTACTCAAACTCATGTCCATCGAGTCGGTGATACCATCCAACCATCTCATCCTCTGTCATCCCCTTTTCCTCCTGTCCCCAATCCCTCCCAGCATCAGGGTCTTTTCCAATGAGTCAACTCTTTGCATGAGGTGGCCAAAGTATCGGAGTTTCAGCTTCAGCATCAGTCCTTCCAATGAATACCCAGGACTGATCTCCTTTAGGATGGACTGGTTGGATCCCCTTGCAGTCCAAGGGACTCTCAAGAGTCTTCTCCAACACCACAGTTCAAAAGCATCAATTCTTCAGCGCTCAGCTTTCTTCACAGTCCAACTCTCACATCCATACATGACCACTGGAAAAACCACAGCCTTGACTAGACGGACCTTTGTTGACAAGGTAATGTCTTTGCTTTTTAATATACTATCTAGGTTGGTCATAACTTTCCTTCCAAGGAGTAAGCGCCTTTTAATTTCATGGCTGCAATCACCATCTGCAGTGATTTTGGAGCCCAAAAAAATAAAGTCCGACACTGTTTCCACTGTTTCCCCATCTATTTGTCATGAAGTGGTGGGACCAGATGCCATGATCTTAGTTTTCTGAATGCTGAGCTTTAAGCCAACTTTTTCACTCTTCTCTTTCATCAAGAGGCTTTTTTTAGTTCCTCTTCACTTTCTGCCATAAGTGTGGTGTCATCTGCATATCTGAGGTTATTGATATTTCTCTGGGCAATCTTGATTCCAGCTGTGCTTCTTCCAGCCCACTGTTTCTCATGATGTACTCTGCATATAAGTTAAATAAGCAGGGTGACAATATACAGCCTTGACGTACTCCTTTTCCTATGTGGAACCAGTGTTTTGTTCCTTTCTTCTTTAGAGTCTGAGGAAGAGCTAGGTCCCATGAGTTCCATTCAGATCTGATCAAGCTGGGATTTGGGAGACAAACTCCCCACTTCCTGAAAAGCAGCCAGGACTCGAGTCTGGCGAGAGGGAAAGTGGGGCAGAGCCAAAGCAGAACCGGCACTGACAATTTGGGAAAAGTGTATCTTAACTCCGTAGTCAAATGTTTTCTGGGAGATAGCTGGGTCTGGCAGGCCTTCCCTTCAGGCTTCCCCGCTGTGGCAGATCCCTGCCAGGAGGGGGCGCCGCCTTTTGCATCTCTGAGCCCCAAGGGGAATGTCGGCTTCTGCCATGGTAGAAGTTGCCGGGTTGTGAGTTTTTGAGCCTTTACTAGCATATTAGTTTCCCTTCACTACTGCAACAAATTACCACAAATCTAGTAGCTTAAAACAACACAAATTTATTCTCTTACAGTTCTGGCAGTCAGAATTTTAAACCTGTCTCTCTGAGCTAAAATCAAGATATCAGCAGGTTGGTTCCTTCTGGAAGTTATGAAGGAAGAATCCATTTCCTTATCTTTTTTATTTATTTTTTGCCTGCACTGGGTCTTCATTGCTGTGCTCGGGCTTCAGTGGTTTCGGCACGCAGGCTTAGTTGCCTGGAGGCATGTGGGATTTTCCCAGACTAGGGATCAAACCTGTGTCCCTTGCACTGGCAGGCTGATTCTTAACCACTGGCCCACCAGGGAAGCCCTCCTTGTCTTTTCCAGCTACTGGAGGCCGCTTGCATTCCTTGCCTTGTGACCCCCGCCTCGAGGTTATTATGTCCCTTACTTCCTCTCTGAGCTGCTGCTTCCCTCTAATAAGGATCCATGTGATTACAACAGGCTTGCCTGGATAATCCAGGATAATCGCCCTGTCTAAAGACCTTAGCTTAATGACATCTGCAAAGTCCCTTTCATCATATAAGGTGATGTTCACTGGTTCCTGGGATTAGAACATGGCCATCTTGAGGGCCACTCTTCGCCTACTACAACTAGGCTGCAGAAAGGCTACACCCTCCTGGTGTTTCAGTAACTGGGGAAAAAAGGGCCGGGGATTTTCTGCTTTGGGTTCAGCTAGGTCCTTCCTAACCTTGTATTTCTAAGGTCTAGGCTTCACCAACCCCCTGACCCCTTCCAAACCAAAGAAACTAGCTGCCATGTCTCCTTGCAAGTCCGGTGAGAAGCCTGACTTAAGTGCTGGTGAGGTGCAGGGCCAGCCAAGGAGCCCCCAGGCCAGAGGGTGCCTGCCCTAAGCCCACCCGGCTGGCTGCAACAAGCCCACGGCCGGGAGGGGACTCAGGGGAGGGTCTGGGGCCTGCTGAGGGCACAGGGAGGCTGTGGGACAAGCGAGGCCTGTGAGGAGAGCACGTGTCAAGTCAGCCAGGGCTGAGGCGTGGCTGCGGTGCTGCGGGAGCCACAGGAAGAAGCTGGGGGCTGTGGTGGCGGCCCACGGACACGACAGAGACCGCGGCTGGGAGCAGCACTGAGGTCAGTGAGAGAACGCCTCTGCCTCCCAGCAGCTGGAATGAGGCCTCAGCAGACCGGGTCCCAGGCACCAGGCCTTTTCTTTGTAACGAGAGGGCAGCGGGTAGGGCAGGGCGGGCAGCAGAGCGGGATGGCAGGGAGCCTCTCTCGCTACCTCTTCTCCATGTTCTGCATCTGCAAACTGAGGGAGGTGAAGCTGGCCAGCAGGTCGGTCACTTCGTCCACCTGCGGGAGGAAACCAAGGCTCTGTGAGGGGGTGCCCGGTTCTCCCCGCACAGCGCCACAGGCATGGAGGCAGGCACTGTCTCTCCTCCCAGAGCCTGTGAGGGCTTCACCCCGGGCTATGGGGCAGCTGTCCAAGGGTGAATCCGTGCTGCCCCAGAGAGAAGGACCCAGGCCGCTTCCAGAGAGGTGGACAGAGGCTCTGAGGCCCACAGAGGACGGCAACCAGCAGCCACGCCTCTCTCTCCAGCCTCAGAGCAGGGACCGGCTGCCCGGAGGCTCCTGCCAGGCCGGGGTCTGGACCGCAGCTGCGCTCACCTGCTCGCGGGTGCTCGTCATCTGGAGGCGGGTGCAGAGGTCGTCCAGCCGCTCCCGCTGCTCGTGCCGCCCCAGGCGCTCCAGGTACTCCCTCAGCATCTGGATGATCTGAAACCAGAGGGCAGGCTGAGGGTGTGCCGGCAGGCACAGAGCAGCCTGAGGCTGCTGCCCAGGAGCACACTAGACCAGCTGTCAGCTGGGGTCCACATGAACTATGAAGTCACCGCTCAGTGCTGCAGGCTCAGCCGAGCGGGGTGCTCACCTGCTTCACCTCCAACCGCACGGCCTCCAGGCACTGGGAATGGCCTTCCTGCAGGATGTTGAGCTTGGACTTAGCCAGGTGCAGAGGCGTGCGGCCCGCTCGGTCCAGGGCATCCACCCGGGCCCCTGGGGGAAACAGGCAGTGGTGAGCATGCTGAGCGGGGGGAGGAGGAGAGAGGAGGGAGAGGGGAGCACTCACCTCCTCGCAGCAGTGTGGTGATGACGGGGACGTGGTTGGTGCAGGCCGCTGAGGAAGGAGAACAGGGACTGAGAGTTCAGGACCACGAGGGGCTTGGTCCTGGGTGCCCGCGGGAGGGAGCAGGACTGTCTCTGAGGGTTCAGGTGCCAGATCACTCCCCAAGACGCATCACCAAGGCAGCAATTGGGGGGATTCAGCGATCAAACCCAACTCCCTCCCTACACAGCTGGGGAAACTGAGGCTGGGAGGCGGGACCCGCCTCACCACAAGCCATGGTGAGAGTTGGCCGCAGGGAGGGAACCTCCCCTGGCAGAGCTGCTGCTGAGCCAGTTCAGGCTGTGAAATCAGCTCTGCTTGGGGCACAGCCAACCAATAGTGGACGGGGACAGCCATGGACACAGCCCAAGGGGAGTGCGGCCCCAGGGACTCGGACTCTCCCCAGGAGACAGGAGAGCCTGCTGGGGGTCTGCAGGACCCCAGGCTCTCCATCAAGGAGCCTGTCTTGGCAGCTCGCCAGGCACTTACCCAGGTGCAGTGGTGTGTTCCCCAGCCCATCTCGCTGGTTGGGGTCGGCTCCGTGGTCCAGAAGCAGCTGCACTAGAAACAGGAAAGCCCCAGAGGAGCCGCTGGGGGCTTCTACTGGCAGCATCCTAGCCCCCCCCCCCCACGGAACACTGAAAGCCAGTACACTGCCCTGCGCGGTTTCACTCCCTTGCCCACTCGTGAGGCTTGTGTGCAGGACACTGAGCACCATGAACTAAGGCTTCTGGGAGGGTCCCTGAGCCTCTGCAGGTATTAAGGGACTGAAGTTTTAGGGTTAAAGAAAGTTCTCCCAACAGCTGTGGCTGCTAGTGAAGGCTCTTAAGGGGCATAAGACAGGATGCCGGGCGCTGAAAAGATCCTATATTTTGATCCAGGAGGTGGACATAGCAGTGTAAGGACACAGAGACTTCACTGTTTGCAAGTTATGCCACATCCTAAAAAGACTTCTGGGAAAAAAAAAAATTGGGTTTGGGGGTGGGCTGTCCCACTGCTGCCCTTAGCACTGAATAAATGTTGCCTGAATGTCTGGAAAGTCCTGTCCGACCTTGGGGTCGATCTCATTCTTTCCCCAGGTGGGCCCCGCCTTAGGCAGCGCCAGTTCCACAGGCCAGAGGCGTGGGAGGGTCCGGCCTTCCTCACCTCCAGCAGGCCCCCACCCCCGTGTGCTGTCCCCCAGCGCCCCTGAAGGGAGAATGCTCGCCCAGCCCCCCTCCCGCTCCTCCCCAGAACTCACCAATCTGGTCGTTGCCATTGCAGGAGGCAAAGTGCAGGGCAGTGCGGCCCTTGTCGTCAGCTGCACAGGGGTCCGCGCCATCCTCCAGGAGCTGCTGCACTGGCACCGCCAAGACAGAGGGAGCGAGCAGGCAGAGTGGCAGCGTCAGCCACGCTGCAGCCCCAGCGGTGGGCAAGGGTGCTGAGGGCCCTTTCCAGCAAGGCATCCATAACATGTGGGAGAGCTAGTCCCTCCGGGATGCGGCCACCTCGAGGATTGCTGTCCCTCGTTCTCCTGAGGGCACAACTGAGCACCATGGGTGCTGGGTGCCCAAGTACATGTCTTGGGACAGAACATCACAGAAGGATCTCGGCCCTCAGGGTCAGGAATTCTGGAGTCATGGAAATCCCCAGTATTGATTTTGGTCCTGCCCCTCTACCTGAGTCTGGCTACACATCCATCCAGCTGGGACACAGCTGTGGGCTGATGCTCACTTAGCTCACTTAGCTCACTTAGCTCCCTGGAGGCAGCCCAGGACAGAGGCTGGGCTCTGCCATGCAGACCAAGTCCCAGACTGAGCTGAGCAAAAAGGAAAGGAGTTCATTGCTAACAGCATGCGGCAGTGGGAAGAGCTGGGCTGGGAGCAGGAAGGCTGAGATTTGGGCCCCCATTCACCAGCAAATGGGAGTAATTTCTGCCCAGCCAACCTCTAGAGCTGCCATGATGAGAATAATGGATATGAAAGTCCTTTTCTGAAAAGTCTGGAGCCACTATAAAATGTGAGGCATTATGTACTCCGTGCCCATGTCCAAACTGAAATGCAGAAATTGCTGCCAAACATCATTTTAGAGCAAGCAGTGAAATGCCCTAGCAATCCCCCAGTGAACCTCTCAAGGACCCGAGTCCTTCCAGACGAAGCCCAGATAATCTCCTGCTCCATGAATCTCTCCTGTCTCCTTAAGGTGAATGAGTCCCTCTGACCCCCACATCTCTGTAGTGCCCTGTTAATCCTGCTACTCTCACATTAACAGGCTGAGCTCTTTCAGAGTAATTGCCATACACCAAGCACCAGACAGGCATCAGCTGCCTGGCTGCCAACACCCTCAAACACTCGGTATGGTACCATGTCCATGCTACAGACTAGGAGACAGACTCCAGCCCAAGCCAACAGGAGGGCTGGGATAGGAACCCAGGTTTCTCCTGCTCAAGAACTTATACCTCTCCAACTAAACACATGACTTCCCTTTCTCTGGGTTTTTTCTTTTTAGAAACGGTGTCACTTTATACTCTTCTTCCCCAGCAATACTGTCACTTTATACTCTTCTTCTCCAGCAATACTGTAGGTTTTTGGTTTGTTTCTTAATATCCTGGACCGAGATATGACTTGTCCTGCTCCACAAATGTGGCCAACTGACTGCATAAATGAATGAATGGTTTGGGAATGAATGAATGGGAAAGGTTTATAAGAGTGGAGAAGAAGGAAGAGCTTCAGGTCACCTCAGTGTTCATCAGTGCAGTCACCAAAAGAGAGCCAGCATCCCCAAGATAAAGTAAATGGTTCTATTTTTGTGATCTGTACAGCTAAGTCTTTATGGAAAGCACTTTAGCGACACCTATCAGAAGCCATCAAGATACATGTATCCTTTGATGTAGAAACCCCATTCCTAGGAAATTATCTTAATAGTGAAAAACCAGTGTGCAAATATGCGACTAACTGAATAACTCTTGCTTTGTCCCTTTGAAGGCATCGTGTGCATCCATTACAAACTGCGGTCATAGCTGGGGAATAGAATTACAAGGTAATTTCTGCTCTTTACAAGCTTTACAAAAATTGCACAGCTATGTATTCATTCTATAAATAAGAAAAATGACACTTTTGTTTTGAAAAAAAATGGTTATGAAGACTATGGGAAATGTTTATGATACATAAAGCATTAGGCAGGCTGTAAAATTGTGTATACAGCACAGTCTGCAAGCTCATCAAGAAAATTCCTCTGCACAGGAGAAAGGACAGGAAGGATAGTCACCAAAATATTAACAAAGATTAGTTCCTTTCCCGACATTAAAAATGTTTTTCTTGCATATTTTTCTAATTTTTAAAACATTTTAAATGCATATATTATTTTCACATTTAAAATCTTTTCAATGGGCCTTCCCTGGCAGTTCAGTGGCTAAGACTCTGAGCTCCCAACATGGGGTACCCAGGTTCACTCCCTGATCAGGGAACTAGATTTCACATGCTGCAACCAAGAGTTAACATGCCACAGCTAAGAGATCCTGCACCTAAAGATCCCCCATGCTGCAGCTAAGACCTGGTGCAGCCAAAAAAAAAATCTTTTAAATGATTATGAATTCACAGAAAGGTACTTATAATTTAACGATAGCAGGGTAGAAATTTTACATCCACTATAATTGCCAACCTACACCAAAAGACCCAACAAACGTGGAGCAAGAAAACAAAATGCTAACCATACAGTAAAATGGAGTGAAAAGGCTAAACTATAGCCAGTTTCTCTACCAGAGTCCTGCAAGAGCCTGGTAAATCTAAGAGCCATGAGCCAATTAGATTTGAAGATGGGTGTGTCACAGATGCTGAATGGAAAATTACAGCATTTCCACCAAAATAATGAAACCAGCATGTGGACACCTGATTCAAGATAAGCTAGACACTGGCTAATGATTGTGAAAGCTGATAAACATCTTTTACTGTTGTGAAAAAGAAAGATAAGCTAGACATAAACTCACAGGCATAGAGAACAAACCAGTGGTTACCACTGGGAAGAGGGGGGGCAATATAGGGGTGGGGGAGTAACTATTAGGGGCAAACTATTAGGTATAAAACAAGCTACAAGGATATATTATACAACAGGGGGAATATAGCCAATATTTTGTAACAACTATAAATGAAGTATAACTTGTAAAGACTGTGAATCACTATACTGTACACTTGTAACTTACGTAATATTATACATCAACTATACTTGGATTTAGAGAGAAAGTAAACCTATTAAAAAAGATAAACTAGACTTTCTGTGGAAGGGAAGTATAATTAAAATATTCTCTGGTCACACACTAGAGGTATTAAAAAGAGAATACATCATTTTTCCTTGAAAAGCCATATAGGTTACTACCCAAATATTCCACAATATTAAAGTTCATGGAAGAGATGAAATTGGAGAGTGCTGAAAAGCCCTCCAGCTTCTAGGCCTGTTCACTATGCTCTGCCAGCTGGGCCCACTCAAGGCCCAGCTCCCTGAGGGGAACAACCTCCTCTCCATGCCTGCTCTCCTATCCCACGGCCCTTTGTCCACACTTACATTTTATCTGACCACAGCATCCCACTCTCAAAATAGAATGATGGCCACTTGAGGTAGGCGGAATCACAACACCCAAAGGTGCCATTGACAAATAGCCAGAATTTATGGATAGGCCACCTTACTTGGCAAAAGGGACCTTGCAGGCAGGATTAAGGTTAGCAACCTCTAGCTAGATTATCCTGGATTTTGCAAGCCCAATTTAACACATGAGTCTTAAACATCAGAGAACCTTTTCCCATTGGTAGAACCAGTGTGCAGATTCAATCTACTATTGCTGACTCTGAAGATGAAGGGAGAGGACTATGAGCCAAGGAACGTGGGCAGCCTCAGGAGCTGGGAAAGGCAGGGAAACAGATTCTTCCTGGAGCCTCTGGCAAGAAATACAGCCCCGCTGACACTCTGATTTCAGCCTGATGAGACCTAAGCTGGACATCCAACCTTCATAGCTGTATGATGACAAACTGGTGCTGTTTTACACAACTATATCTGTGGTAATTTGTTACAGCAGTTACAGAGAACCAATATACCACTTTTCCCTGATTCACAGAATGACTTAAGTCAGTGGATAAAATTAAATCTTTTTTTTTTTTCTATAACTTGTCTTGTACCTTTGATGCTGCTACTGCCCTGTCAGCTAGAAAAGGGTGAAGAGCAACAACAACAACAAAAAACAGAGAGGTGTCCTGCGAGGAGCCCCACCCCTGCCTTTCAGATGTTCTGTCAACTTAAGTTCGAGAACCACGAACCCCACTACCACCAAGCCTCAGGGAGCAGTTGAAGGGCTCTACGCAGATGGTGGCTCTCCTGGTGGTTCAAGTTGACGATTCATTCCTTTCAGCCAGAAGTTCCCCAAAACTCCTACTCTGTGGCTGGGTGCCAGGGATACAAAAGCTCCCTCTGTGAGGTGGCTCACAGGGTAATAAACACTCTGACGTCAGGAAGGACAGGGTGGCAGGGAAGCATGGGAAGAGTAAGCATCTGAACCAGACTTGTCATCTTATAGATGACAGCAGTTATACAATAGATACAGTGGTCCCAGGGGTGAGCTGGGACTGTCTTCCCAGCACTGTCTTCCCAGGTACTGGTTATGTGGACTTTGCCTTCCCTGACCAGACCACGGAGCCGGACTCACTCTGCACACTCACCTGTTTCCACATCGTTGGCATTGGCTGAGTCCCTCAGCCTTTTCAGAGCTGTGAAGAAAATAAGAGTGCCAGTTAAAAAAAAAAACAGACAAAAAAACCCAGCAATGGCCATGATGAAGCAGAAAGTGATGGCTTCCTGGAAACTTCCTGGCAGTCCAGTGGTTAAGGACCCATGCACTTCCACCACTGGGGGCACGAGTTTGACCCCTGGGGGAACTAAGATTCTGCGTGTTGCACAGCACTGCCAAATGGAGAAAAAAAACATCTAAAGGGAAAGAGAGGTCCCAGAATACAACCAGGAGAAACCTGAAATGTGACACAGCTTGTGCAAAAGCCACATTTTGTAGCAAATCTTCCAAGGCCTTTGCAGCCAGTTCTTGGCTCTGCCACTTGGTGACCTTGAACAAGTTCCTTAAGCCCCTGGGCTTCAGATCTATCAGGTACAAACAAGGTTGAGCTCTGTCCTGACAGTCCTGAGTTGTTGCAAAAGTCAAATGAGATGATTTACACAAAGCTCTTTGTGAGCTGGTTACACATATAATCTTATACTCTCCTTCAAAACAGGCCACTCCCAAATGGCATATTTAAATTTGAAAATTCCCACACAGAAACTTTTTTCTCCACAATGACACTACTTCTATATTAGAGGCTAATAGAAAGCAATACTTTTATGATCAGAGAAATGGACAAAAATTACAATTTATATAATGATTCCTTACATTTATACAGCACTTTCAAATTCTCAATTAATCCTGATAACACCACTAAGATATGAGTAGGTCCTAGAGGGAATCTAAAAGTCCCCATTCTTAAATCTTTCAGGGTGTTGGTTTCCATGGCATCCATAAAATGTAAAAGACAATATGGAAGAAGTATCAGAGCAGGAGTTCTAATAACAGCACAAACAATTTCTACTGATGTGACTTAGAGCAAGACAATTTCTCAGAGGCTCAGTTTCATCTTCAGTAAACTGGGAACAGTATCTGGATCTTGATGAGTTATTATGAGGATCAAAAACTGTCACAGGGCTTCCCTGGTGGTCTAGTGGTTATGAATCTGCCTGCCAATATAGGGAACACGGGTTTGATCCCTGGTCCAGGAAGATCCCACATGCCTCTGAGCAACTAAGATCATGTTCCACAACTATTGAACCTGAGTTCTAGAGCCCAGAAGCTGCAGTTACTGAAGCCCGCGTGCCTAGAGCCCATGCTCTGCAATGAGAAGCCTGCACACCGCAATAAGGAGTAGCCCCCACTCACCAGAACTAGAGAAAGCCTGCGCTCAGAAAAGATGGCCCAGCAGAGCCCAAAATAAATAAATAAATCTTAAAAAGAAAAGAAAATGACCACATTATCACCAACAGTGTCTGGCACACCTTGAAGGCCAAATATTGACTATACATTCCCTACTTTACCTCGTTAACATTCCCATTCTACAGATAAGAAAACTACAGCTGAAAGGGTCTGCAGTTTGCCTAAGGCCACCATGAGCTAGAAAAGTCCAACCCAGGTCTGTGCATTTAAAGAAGCTGGTACGACTTTGCTCTGATACGAAACTATTCTCCACTACCCACGTATTATCTACACCTGGGGCTAGGAATCCGTTTCTACTCAGGAACTACCAAATGTGAAAAGCCTCCGGGACTGTTTCTGAGCAGGAAGACTACATTTTTTTTTTTTTTTTTACACTCATGACTGTTAGCAGTCATACGACTACTATTCCTACTGGAAGAGTACTCAGGGGTCACTCCAGGTCCGTAGCGCAGACGTCGGAGGACTCCATCCTGAGCGGGCTGGGGAGATCAGCCGAAAGCCAGCCCCGCCTCCCGCCGCGCTCCTCACCGTGCACCTCCTTGCCAGTGGGCCCAAGCCGGCGGTGGGGCCTGGAGGCGCGCCGCAGCCTGCCCGCGGGGATCTTACAGCGCAGCTCATCGCGGGGCTCCGCGTCCTGCTGCCACAGGACGTGCAGGTACCGCAGCGGGGACTGGGCCCCGCTGGACGCCCGGCCCGGGAGGCCCGCGCCGCCGCCCAGCGCAGACCCAAAGTCGGCGAAGGAGAAGAGGCCCTCGGGACCCGTCAGCGGCTCGGGCGCCACAGCGCACTCGCCGTCGGAGCTCGAGCGGCCCGAGCGCGACTCGTCGTCCGCGCCCCCGGCGGCGGCTGCCATGGCAACGGCTCCGCGCCGGCCTGGCCGCCGGAGGAGCCTCGTGCCTGACGGACCAACGGACCCGCTTCCCTCCGCCCTAAAGGCTCGCTGTCAACGGACGAGCTGGCAGGCCGGGCCTGCAACCACGGCAACCGGGTTGGGGGGCGGGTTCGGGGAGGGGCGGGCGCGCGAGCGGGGCCGTTCCGGACCAATGAAAACCCTTTCAGCCGCAATAGACTTGGTTTCCAGCAGCATGACTGATGGGTATAAGAACCAATCAAAAATTTTAGCTGTCCCCTACCGGAGCCAATAAAATAGCTGAGTTTAGGACACTTTTTTTTTTCTTATTTCTCCCAATGGATGAAGGGAAAGATAACGGGCGGATGCCCTAGCCAATCACGTTAAGATGATTTGCAGCCAATCACAAAGGAAAGTGAAGAAGCCAGAGGAAAAGGAAAGGAAGAAAATGTTTAAATCAATGAACGTAAAAAGAAAAAAAGAACTTCCTACAAATATACAGTGTTAAATAGGAAATGAGAATATGTTAAAATGTGGGGCTAGCAACACAAACCGTGTAGTAATAACTTCTAAAGGCGATAGATTCCGTTTGTTCTCTCTGTAACCCTGGCGTTGATCACTAATTTACAAAGAAACGAATTCTGTAATTCAAGGACTTTCCTGTGTCTCAGACGTTAAAGAATATGCCTGCTATGTAGGAGACCCGGGTTCGATCCCTGGATCGGAAAGATCTCCCGGAGAAGGAAATGGCAACCCACTCCAATATTCTTGCCTGGAAAACCCTATGGACAGAGAAGTCTGGCGGGTTCCAGTCCATAGGGTCACGAAGAGTCGGACACGACTGAGCGACTAACACTGTAACTCAACATCATTACATGAGAGTGATCAACATTTGAGTCCGAGTGCAAGTCACTGAGCCAGCAAATTCTCTGTGCTAAGTCCTGGACACAGAATCAGACTGGGTACTCTCTGAGAGGCTCACGTCGGATGGGAGAAGTCAAGCCGTAAACAAGGAAGTGTTCCGCAAACGGCTAACGGTGAGCTTAGCAACCCCTCCCAGTTACCCTGCTTTGTAAGAGTTTTCACAACCCCGAATCCCGCATACACTTCTGTAAAGTGAGCAAAGAGGACCACCGCTACTTCATAGACGAGGGGCTGAAACCAGAGAGATAACGGACTTGTTCACGGATGCCCAGCTCTCTTGAGAGGAAGACTGTCCTGGCAAAAGTTGTTCCTTGTTATTCAGCACAGTGAAAATGTAATCTCTTTCAGACAGTTGAAAAGCACTTTCAGATTTTGCAGTGTTCTCAGAACACCACTATAAATTTTATCATTGTAACATATGGAGAAAAATGTTTATTATTATTCTTCTCCTCCTCTGCCCCATGCAGGAGAAGGGCATATGACAACTTCATTTGTATCTAGAAAGAAACATTGAATGGGTACCATTTACCGAGTGCTTAATATATATGATGCCATTTAGCTCTCCTTCACAAGAGCCTTAGCAGGTAGATATTATTATACTGACTTAGCAGAATAGGAAACTATAGTCTTGAAATGTCATATGAATCAACCAGGGGTATAAGACTAGAAAGTTGGACAACTGGGATTTAAACATAGAAAATCCTCTTTCCATCACACTGCTCTCTCCTATTGGAAACCTGCCTCCAGAGAATATAAGTGACTTCTGGGTGTTTATACCTCACTCCTGCCGAGTGTACCCTGAAATAACTTTATTAATCATTCCTCAACTTTTTCCATGTAATAACCTCCAAAATAATCTTCATCCCTCCAGTCTCTCTTTGCAGAATCAAGGTGTACTTGTTGTCTAAAGCACAATTCTCTTCATCTCCTACTAGTGGGTTTGGTCTTCAAGCCATCTTGGTCTCCTAAGAAGTTTGCATGATCTGAAATCTTTTAATTTAAACAGGATCCCTACACATCTAGAGGTTGCTGTTACTTCTAAATTTTAAGTCAGCTTTGTTGAAGTACATAGCCCAACTCTTTGTGTATTGCAAGAACCACTTGTTATTTGTATTGGAAGAATGGGATGTGGGTTGGATGTGGACCCAGTTAGACTAACCAGCTGAGATTTGAATGGAACTTGGGACTATGAAATTGTATTCCCTCATAATGCCTGGCTCAGCAACTGGAGCAAGCATATTGTAACTATTTGACTAACTGGTTGAATGAATGAATGCATGAGTAAAGAGAACATGTCCCAATGGTTAAGACCGTCAACGATGGACCATAAATATGTAGTTTTATGGCTCTAAGCAAGTGACTTTCCTTCTCTTGTCATCAATTTCCTTGGCCACAAAATAAAAGTAAGAGTAGTCCCTATATCATGTATGTACATGCTCAGTCACTCAGTCATGTCCAACTCTTTGGGACCCCACGTACTGTAGCCCACCAGGCTCCTCTGCCCATGAAATTTTCCAGGCAAGAGTACTGGAGTGGGTTCCCATTTCCTGTTTTGATGATCTTCCCAAACCAGTGATCAAAGCCAATGATAGAAGAACCTAGTACAGAGTGTGGTACAGTTATTGCTCAAAGTATGATAGTTGTTCTTATAAAGAAGCTTAGGATGCAGGCTTAGGGCCTATGCAGGTCAGTTCAGTTCAGCTGCTCAGTTGTGTCTGACTCTTTGTGAGCCCATGGACTGTAGCACGCCAGACTTCCCTGTCCATCACCAACTCCTGGAGCCTGCTCAAACTCGTGTCCATCAAGTCGATGATGCCAGTGAAAATCCTATGCAATTGTGGGCATATCACACTGGTATGAACTTAGATCTAAGGGGGCTGCAAGTGTTCATATGCAAGTCATTATGTTTGGTCAGTTAGCAAATAGAACATGAAGCACTTAATGGGAGACAAAGAAAGTACGTCTAATGTTGCCTTGTGGGAAAAGCTTCTGCTTGGGAATCCAGGGGCTTGTGTTCTAAGACCTACTCTGCCATGACTCACTTCATAATTTGGGGACAAGTTTTTCCTTTCTTTGGGCTTCAGTCTTCACATCAGAAATATTGTTCTAGGTCAGATAATGACTGGCTCAGGCTGGCTTGGCTTTCCCTTCATTCATTCCTTCATCTTGTTGGCCTACACAGTATTTTAGAGCAATTTGAACTGGTTGCCAACATTAAAAAATTTAGATCTTTCCCACAAAACTTTTCATTTCCAGATTCTTTTAAAAATAAGACAGTATAGCAATACGTGACCAACTCTCCCACCTGGCAATGGTTGGCTAGAGCTATATAGCAACTTTCCCCTTTAGGCGGGGCATGGTATTCTGGTTTGCCACAGTCCCCACCACTCTCTGTTACCTCCATTTGAGGCCTAAAGGCAGTTGCCATTTGTCCTCATACCTGTGATTTTTTTTTTTAATGGAGCTAACAGGAGATTAAAATATCACTTGTCTCCATCAAATGTGGAATAATGAAAATTAGTGTGGAGGAAAATTATTTAGTATGTAAAAGCATGATGTACAGTGATTGTGTGACTTCTTAATGCCATTCTAGAGAATTTCTAATCAACTTACATAAGGGACATCTGACTCTCTGGGGAAATTTAACTTTGACTAACAATTGACTAGGACTCAGTGATATTTTTTATAACTCTGTAAAGTTAGAGGTTAGCTTGTAGGAAACTGATAAGGTACAGTGACTTTTGTACATCCAGTAAAGAACATAACACCAGAGTTATGGTTTTGTTACTCTAGAGTGCAAGACACAGATTTGGATCTAATTTAGCAATCATATTTCTGTTTTTTGGCTGCACAGGATCTTCATTGTGGCGTGCAAGTTTCTCTAGTTGCAGATGTGGGATCTTAGTTCCCTGACCAGGGATTAAACCCATGTCCTCTGCATTGGAAGGTAGATTGTTAACCACTGGACCACCAAGTAAGTCCCTAGCAATCATATTTCAGCATTTCTTTGCCCATTCTAGTGCATGTGTGCTCAGCTGTGTCCGACACTTTCTTTGTCCATTAACTATTCTAAAATTCTTTTCAGGCCATGTTTGTCATACTGTTGTTTCCTTCATTAACAAATAAATAAGCTCACTCTTTATTGGTATAATTATGTTTTTAACCTCTTAGTGGTATTAATCTTTTACCTACTGTGGAAGTTCCAAAGATTTTTCATTAGTCATTTGTTGTTAATTTTACTTATAATTTTTAAATGAAATTTACTGAGGTTTTAAGTATATACAAGAAAATTCCCACGTTTTAACACAAGGCCGATCATTTCTGATAAATGTATACACTCAGGTGACTATCACCTCAATCAAGATATGTAGCATGACAAAGAAATATATATATGAGCATGCAATTATATTTTTAACAATTTGAGAATTGCTATTTTAGATTGTAGAAAGAGGGCACGCCCTTTTCAGAAAAGTAGGTAAATATTTATTTGCAGGCAAGAACAACAGTCTTCAATAGTCTCCATCAAAGAAGGCTACAATTTAACATACATTCAGAAACAGCGGGCTACTTTTTGTTTTTTTTCTAGTGGACTCCTGTACCAGATGATCCCTAAAGATACTTCTACTTCTGATTTATGAAGACTCAGCTACTTGTCTCTCAAGGCCTACATACTACTGCCCCAAACGGCAGTGAGCAGAGGCTGCTGAGATCATTTCAGGAGAATGAAACAAACAAGATAATACATCAACTACAAACAAACTCAAGATTCTTGGGAAGTGGGGCTTGACATGAACAGAGCTGAAGAGCCCAGGATGACTATTAAATATAACTAATGGCTTTCCTGCGTCAGAATTTCCTGCTTCAAATCCCAAGTGAAAGAAGATCAAGAAAACAGGCTACCTTTTCAACTGCTAAATTCTCTTAGTAACTCTCTCAGGTAAAATTATTCCAGGAGCTTTGGTCTGCCACCCGTTTCTTTCCCTCTGAAGTACTGGTTTTCCATTAACAAGGGAGCCTTGCAAAATCACACACTCTGTGATCAAACATTTCATAGTCTACAATGGGGGCCGGGTTACTCA